TTATAAGAATCTATAAAGTAGATAATCATTAGATATGAATTTTATAAAAATAAAGTAATATTCTCTTTGTATAATATTATTAAAAAGTTTTTATTTTTGACATTCACTCGAACTCGCACTATCTGACTTTTGCTTTTTCATGCCATTTTGACTGAAATAACTTCCTGGCTATTTGCCAGTACGATGTCTGATGCTATTTTATCAATGGTTAGCTCCGAATACGTACAAACTTTCTATTGGCCGACTAATATTTATGCCAGCTGTCAAATTACACACCGAATATTGTTATATATATATATTTTAGCAGTTATATTGATCTACAAATTTTTTACCATTGATGAAAAAAAAAAAAGAAAAAAATGGAATTTCGCATCATCTAATGCAACTTTTTCCCTACTTTTTAAACTTAAGAATATTATCCTAAAACAGTTAAAGTTAACTAGATATCAAGTTTATGTAGATTAGACTATGAAAAATGTATAGAATATAGCAATATTAACAGTGATGTAACTGTTAATAGTTAGTTTCCTATTCTATATTTTACTTCCTGGTATATTAACAAAACAAGAATTATATAAGATATATATATAAAAAAAATAATGCAGTAATTAACAAATATATATATATATATATATATATTTTAAAGCGTTATTAATGTCGGATATTTTTTAATATTATTGTCAATAACCTCTTCTCATTTGAAAAATAAACAACATATTATATTTCTAAAACAGATTATTATTATTATTCTTTGAATTTAATTTTATTAAAATAAATTAATAAATCAAAATTTCAATACTGTTTTCTGTTGTTAATTTTAGAAGGCATTAAATTTTTCAAAATGCTCTTTACAGCAAACAAACAAAAATTAAGTAAATCTACGCTATTTTTGGACGACATATTCCTTTAAAATAATCAAGAAAATTAATTTAAGAATATATATATATATATATATAGCANCGATTTTATTGTCTTTTTAATATTTAAAAAAAAAAAACACTTTTACATAAAGGGCCTTATAACAAAATTGCGCCTAGGGCCTGAAAGAAACATAATCCGCTACTGCCAGTTATTTTACATGAAATATAATAATAATTAGACTTTTAAGAGATACAAAAGTGCCTTTTTTTTCTGTTAAATGATGTTTTAAACGCTTTTACGATGAGCCGTATTGAGAAGGGTCATTGTGTCCAATTACGGTTGTCTAAAGTCTTTAAATTATACTGATGAAATTGTTATTTATAGCTCTGTTTCTTTTCCAAGCTCTAGTTTAGATTCGTTGCTTTCACTCTTACGTATATATTTAACCATTTTTTAAAATTTTTACAAGAAATATTCTCATTATTTATTTTCTAATAAATTCAAATTTTACGAATATTTATTAGTATATTTATTTAATTTATTAATTAATAATAATAATAATAATTAAAAGTAGACCTATTATTTAGCTTTAAATTACTACAGTCGGTCACACGATTTGACGGCTTAACGGTGATGTCATTCGTCTTACATAGTCGAATGTTAATCATTGTTCTTGCGTGTATAATCGAGATGATCTACATTCGTAGACTTCAACGTCATTGCAAAAACGAAAGAGAACATTGTAAAAAAAAATCTTTTTAATAGTACTATTTGGATATTTAATCCAACAGAATAAAATGCCAATTAAAATTTTTTTATATTTTTATTCTTCTTTCTCGATAAGATTATTTGTATTATTTCTAATTTGCATATTAATTTTCATTTAGTTTATAAAAATCAATACTTTTAGACAACGTAGTGTATTGTGAAGCTGTAGGAAACTTGCTCTCGATTCGATCGCTATCTCCCCCACTCCATTTATTTGACCCTATAACCCGAGAGATACGTGTAATTTGCTATTATTGAAGAAAGTATTTTGAGAAAGTAACTTTTTTATATCAATAAAAGGAAGAAAAATTTTGAAAATTATCGTCTTCAAAGATCGGTACGAATTATATGGCATTTATCTAACTGTAGACGAATGCCAGCTCTTATTCTATATTATTTTATGTATTTATTATAATTCTACAATATTCAAATCCTACTTGTGTCAAATTAATTTTATATAATCCTATATAAAACGTATTATACTAATTTAAATTTCGCACAATATGAATTATTCAGTTTTATTGCGTACAAACTGTATAATGAAATACAGGATTAAATTTATTACTTTTAAATAATTGTAAATAATATTCTTAAAGCTTTTCATATCGTTTATTTTTCTTGTTTGTGTAGTGTTGTCTGCTTACGATTACGTAAAATATTTATAAAAATACTGTAATTGCGAGTGACTTATTTGATTTTTTTAAATATATTTTATTTCACTTTTATAATAGACAAATAGAAAAAAAATGATGGAGAGATATCGATAAATCTAACATAATTGTTTTGTGTAAAATCTTTAACGTTTTCCGCCGATGTCGATTATAGAAAATCACGTGACTATGCCGCAGTAGTTTGTGATCGATGGATATACTGATCATGCGCACTACTTTCGAAACGTCCGCATAGGACACCGTCACCTTCAATTTTACAAAAGTCGGATTATTTTCTATTGTAAAGGATATGCAATATCTAAATAAAAGTCATTTCAAAGTCGAAACGTATGATTTAACTTCTCCATTTAAGTGTTTAATATTAATTTCTTAATTTGGAGAAGCTTTGAAAAAGAAAAATAAATTACGTTAGCATTGGTAACAATGGGTCAAACGTTATTGAGACCACGGTCACAACCCAATTTTAGCGGTATTAAACGAATGCGGATAACCGAAAGGAGGCCGCGACATTAATGACAAAGATAAAAAAAAAACAAATTTTCTTTATTATCTAACATTTTATTTAACGATTGTTATATTTTATTTAAGTATTAATCTCGTGTGTTATTATACTTTAAAAAAAACAAACAAAAAAAAAAAAACAAAACAAAAGGTCTTTTCCTCAATGCATGGCTGCAAGCGGTGAAGTGCATTTATACAATAAGTTCGAGTCAGATCAACAAATACGTTTGTAAAAACTTAGCGTTGTTGGAACCGTTTGAAGATTCGTTCTTAGAATCGCTGGGATGGATTGTAACGAGACAAACGCCAGGTGGAATGTTTGGCAGGAGGTCTGGCAGACGACCTTGAACTCAATGAACACGTCCCTCTCGGTTCAATCTGTTACAATGGATGAAACCTGTCGTTATAGGTAATTTTCTGATTGGTCGATAGATAACAAAACATTTGTCGGTTTTTATAAATCACTTGCCAGGACTTACTAGGAAGTGGACGGAAGTTATCGATCTTTGTAGTCGAACACAACAATGGATCGATATGGTACGAGACGCATTTACAAAACCGAACTGTCTTCCGGTATAAAGTCTCCCCATTTATAAGATGGCCTAAAGTCGCCTACGCTGTAGTTAGTGTTTCTATGGTAACTTTCGCCCTCTCGGATGTCTTTCTCTCTCTCTCTCTCTCAATGCGACAAGTGCCGTTCGCACATGTTAACGTCACATCGACGTCAAGTTAGTATCCCTTTGTGACGTCATACTTATATCGTCCATTTTTACGTTCGAATAATAGGTTTTTCTTTGCAATTACGAAATCGTGTGCTTTCCAGAAAAAGAAATATATTGAATCCGTGTTCAAATAATTGTTGTTATTGTGTTCAGAATAGGAAAGTTCTTTGTGTCGTTCTATAAAAAAAATTCTTTTAATAACGACAAAATACTTTGGAAATTTCAAACTCGTTGGATTGAATATGAAACTATTTAAAGAAGTATTATATACAAAATTCGGAGTTTATTAAAAAGAATTTTATCGAATATTGACTGCGGTAAAAATAAACACTGTAAATTATTCACTACAATATTAGTTTCAGACAGTTAGTAATGACTAACAGCGAGTGATAAACTGATAGTGAATGGGGAAGCACTTCGATATTATATAATACGAAATCGTACTTTGATATGTTTTAAACTTTCGTCATCGAGACAAATTTTCCCCTTTCTTTAACATCGTTAATGAAACTTTCGTCATATCAATAAACTGATAAGATTTTACTCTGAAATATCTGAATGAGTAATTTCATAGAAATAGTTAATAGGAAAGAACTCTCATTCATTACAATTTCTTAGAGATGAAAACAGGAAATGAGATTAGAACAGGAAATGACGTTGGCTACTTCTAAGGAACGGTGCATGAAAAAGAGGGAATATCTTATATTTCGATTATTAATGTTCGTCATTATTTATTAAGTGTCGTTATCGACGTGGAAAAAGTAGATTCGTTTATGGGATAATTACACCGATTTAAAAATATTAGTTAACAATAGTAACTATACATTTAATTTACATACTTTCGACCTTGAGTGACGTTATGCACCTGTTGTATAGTAGTATTTGATATTTGTGAGTTGTACGACGAATATAAGTTACACGAGTGTTTCCATACGGAAGAACATATGATATCGAGTAAAAATACTAATCGAGTATTTTAATTTAAAATTGTTTTACAAGTTTGTGGCCACACAAAATATCTTTTTATGTATAGTTATCAATTAAATATTCGCTAATCTTTATACTATTATTGTATATCGTGTCTTTTAGTTTTAACAATGTTTTATTTCTGTTTTCTGTTCGTTTGTGTTCTTCCACAATATTTCCACTTGGCTGAAATGGGGCATTCCGGTAGTTTTCTCGTAATTCCCTCGCCAATTGAATCGGTTCCAAAGGAAGAAAATTTTTTTTCCTCATTCGTGTATATTAATATGATTTTACTTTGTAAAGTTCAATTATAAAATATCATTTTTCTTTATAAAATTTATTAAATGATTTTTAAACACAGTTAAACGAGTACAAAAATGAAATCAAAGATGGAGAATATAACGATTTTCCTTATTTTATTTACCGAACGATTTTTTAAAACTTATTTTATTTATTAATTAATTAGATTTTAGTATCGATAATTTTCAAATAATAATTAATATTTTTGTTTGGAATAATTATTTCAAAATAAATTTTTTTTGGAACGAAAGAGCGCCACTCTGTATCGATTTTTGCATTTAAGAACTTGGAGTTTTAGCACGTGGAAACGTATCGGGTGAAAGAGCAGCAGATTTTGACGACATTACTTACGCGTGGGTACGATTTAAAAATATATTAACACCTTATTGGTTAAAAAAGACGAGAAGAAATACGTCGAATATATTCTTAATTTGAAACGTACGACGACTATTTTGTTATTGAAAGTGTTAGAAATGTTTATTTTTAATGCATTATTTTCATAATGCACGTAAAGTAATAGTCAAAGCGGGAGCTTTGCCAGGAATTCCGACAGTCGTATGGCAACTATATGTAACGTGTAAAATGTTCCGCTACCTGCTTATGTATTGCGTGATGGCCGGCTATCACTGCCTCGACTTAAACTTCTGTATCCAAAGAAGTGACGCAATCTTCTTTCCAGGACGTGACGTTGTCAGTCCCTCTGGCGGCGTAATGTCCATGTGCTCATCTACGTATTCTTAATTGACTATTTCTTCTGGTTTCCTTGGCAGGCCAGGTCACAATTCTCGAGTGATGGAACCTTCTGCGCCAGACGAAGCGCCTAGAGATCCCGGAGCTTTGATTACCCATCCTAGTTACACAGACCAGGATTTCGAGGGTAAGTTCTTTGTTTTAATTTATATTCCTGTGTCCATTACGCGTTTCGTACACGTGGTTTATTATCGGAAGCCAATCATTTTTTTTACAGTTATACGTTTCACGTTTTTTTTATCAATACTTTCTTGTTATATATAAATATATATTTTATATTAAACAATTAATTTGTTTTCATACTTCCTTTTTTTTTATTTTAAGGAAGCCAAGACTTTTTTTTTTTTTTTTTAAATTTTGAAATAGAAACGGGAATTCACTGCGATGACTTATTATTTCGGTTTCTGTTTTATATAAAAATTTCTATGACAATTAACAAAAAACCCCGGAAAATTTGGATATATTTCTAAATGAATCTTGGAAATTTTAATACACAATAATGTATTTATATTTATTTCTATCGAGATTCTTGACGTATTTTCAATTAAAACAAATTTAAATGAAAATGAATTGGGCTCTTTATTATTCATACACTTTATAACTATATCTACAGTACAATAGACAAATGCTTACCACTGTTGACTAGCTACAATGTTTCGAATTAAATTTAAAATATATTTTAATTTTTAATAGTTAAATTTATTACAATTTAACTTAATTGAAAAATTTTCATAAATTGTTTTTAAATCATTGTGTAGAAAAATGAATTTTTTTTTCTTTTTTACTTGTTAATGAATTTTCTAAGATTTAATTTTTATAAAATATATTATTAGAACTGTTTTAGTTTAAAAAAAAATTACATTCAAAGTTTTTTTTTATATAAAGAATAATTTTATTTAATCTTTTTTTTTAATCCAATTATATTAAATTTATTAAGGTAAAATGGTATTAATTTTAACATTATCTAAATATTTTGAAAATTTTTAGTAAGAAAAGTTTCCGCGGTTTTCCGGTATCGATAGTATCTTGTATTTCTTTTAAATTTATCTTTTCATAAAGATGGAGAATTCGAGAATTTCGGGAATTATCTTCAGAAAACTTCAATTATTGATTTCTTAGTTTATCTACTTAAGAACATTATTATTTTAAGATTTAAGTTAGATATAAATAATTTATATTTTTGGTTGTTGTTTTTATTTAAATTTGCGTGAAAAATAAATTAAACAAAAACAAATTTGTTTTCCAAATTTTAAATATTATGATATATTAAGTAAAATCAAATATACGTAAGCAAACATTGTATTTATGAATCTGTATATTTTATTTCTATTTAGACAAAATTAAATCAGAAATCAATATTTAGATGGAATGCAATGTTTACTAATATTTATCATAATTTTGTAGGTCACAGAGCTCACACTGTATACGTAGGCTTGCACGTTCCTGGTTATCGTAGGAGGAGTCATCATCGTCGCCATCATCGTCATCATAAAAATGGTCAAAAGAAACGAGAAGATGGGACTACTGCGGATTACAACAATGAATTCCATAAGCCAGGTTAGATTTTATTTAAAGCGTAATTATTTATTGTTGATAACTTTTCCTAAATAACTAAGTTGTAAATAAGAAGATTGGTATTGAAATTAAATACTGTATATTTCGTTACCTGTTTAAATTATTAGAATAGTCATTAAGTTAAAAAGTATATTAAATTTTTGATAATTTCATAAAACACTAATATAATACAGTGGAATCTACTTACTGATACTGTACTGATAAATGCTTGACAAGAATATTTGTAATAAGTGGCTTCTAGTGTGTAATGTTTATCTTAATTTTCATTGAAAGAAATAAAAATAATGTTAGATTTAAAATGTGGTCAAAATAATAATAATAAATTTAATATCTTATGGAAACATTCAATATTTATAATTTAAAAATATATGTGAATATAATATTTTGGAAAAATGTGTATTTTAGCAGAATAATAAATTATAGAAGGATAAAAACATGTTTTTCTAAATAAAAATGAGATAGTAATTTAAATTTTCTCTGAATCTATTAATTTACTCATGCAAATTAATCCTATGACAATTCAAACATAAGACATTATAAATAATAAATAATAATCTTTTTTTATTATAGAACTTACTAAAAATTCTTTAAAGATTAACCAATAGATTAACTTAAGTTAAAATATGAATCTACTTTTAAGTTGTCTCTGTAAATCAAAATAAGCAGTAATTTTGTAAATTTTTTATTAGCTTTTTTTTTTTTTCATACAGTTGTAAATGTGTGAAAAAATTAATAAAAAATTTACTTATGTAAAATATTCATATATAAATATCTGTATATATAAATCCCAATTTTTCTAAAAAAAATTATATCTAAATTTGTCAAAACAAAAGTTATGTATTGCTCAAATACACTGGTTCCAGAAATAAATTTGATGTCAATACAAAATGGTATAATTTGTGAAAGTTGTTGTCAAATCCATTAAATATTTTTGTTGATTTTATTGTGTGTTTTTACACTACCAGTGAGAAAAACATAGATAAACTGGATATTTAGACTCAGGAATAATCAGTGAAGAAAATAGAATTGATGGCCTAATTTAAAGGGTTTATAGGTTTAAATAATATTTTCTGAGACTTCTCGTATAACATTGATTCTGAATTTATGTACTTTAACTATTCAACAGCATATCCAATTCAATTAGCAGTTTAATTTGCATAATTCTAAGTTTGGTAATAATAAATTAACAGTTTATTGGAAATGCTATCTTTTGGATAATTTGAATTTTTGTATTGTGTACTACAGTTTTAGGACTAGAATTATATTTTATTTAGAAAAATTTTCAGGAAAATTGGAATTTATAATGTTTTCCTTAATTCTGTTTTTTCATTCATGCAAATTCTCTCTCTTAAAGATTAAGATGTAAAAATTGCCATTAAATTCTAGTACTTTTAAGCTTTCGAACTCATTCTTAGAGGCATCAACAGATAGCTATATAAACATACATCATTTAGATAGCTGTAAGTGTTTGAGGAATTTGGTGAAATAAATTTGTGTGGTATTCTTTTAAAGAATTTATTTTGAAATATTTAAAATAAATTTAATATTTGATATAGAATAATAATAATAATAATAAACAGTTTAAATTCAAATGAAAATTTATATTGTATAAAATAGTTTAATTCAAAATAAAAATATATTTTTCTAATGAGTTCCATTTTGGAACTAGATAACTTGTATTTTGTTTATGCTGATATTAATAAATATAGTTACATTATTAATATATCAAATTTCAGTTCCAAATTCTAATATAAAATAATTTTTAAATATTGAATGTTTTAAATTAAACATTATGCTTGTTATATTTTGTATGATATAATTCGGTGAAAATAATTATTTTCCAAATAGTTATTAGAATAAATGTTTATATGTAATGTATTTATTAAAATTTATTAATGTAATAATGAATTGCTAATTTAATTGTATAGAACCTTATACATTTTTAAGTTTTTGTTTTACAAAATAGCAATCAATAGAAAAACTAAGACTTCGTTTTGAAGTCCAAAACTTTTTATTTTATTATTTGAATAATTAAATACAAATATTTTAAACTTTTTTAAATGAGCAATACTTATATTAAAACAAACTTACATTCCAAATATTTTGAAAATAAAGAAAACTTTTTAAAATTTTTAATATTTATTATTTAAAAGACTATTTATTATTACAGACAAATATTGAAAAGTAAAAGATAGTTACACATTCCCCAAAGATAGCATTAAAATTAATAAAATTCCTTTCTTTATTCAGAAACTAATTCTGAAAGAAATTCCAAAATTAACAGTATTAATGCTAATGTAGTTATTGTAATTTAGATTACTAGAAAACAATTACATTTTGTTAAATTGAATTAGAAGAAGAATTGAAAGCAATTATTAAAGAAATTGATTGGAAGTTCTTCAGTTAGACAAATTTTAATAAATATAAATTTTTATTAGTTACACCACCAGCAGAGCGTGTTCATTTTATTCTTGGAGAGGACGAAGATGGTACACATGAAGCTCATCCACTGTTCAGTGAGATGGAAGAATTACATGGAGATGGAGATGATATGGAGTGGAGAGAAACAGCAAGGTTTGTAGATGTAATTTGAAAAAGTTGTAATAATTTATAGTTTTCTATTTAACTGCTGATTTTATATAATTTTTAAATTATTAGATGGATTAAGTTTGAAGAGGATGTTGAAGAAGGCGGTAATCGATGGTCCAAACCACATGTTGCTACCATATCCTTACATTCCTTATTTGAACTCCGAAGTTGTATTTTAAATGGCACAGTTATGTTAGATATGGAAGCACAAAATTTAGAACAAATTTCTGGTAAATTTTAATTTTATTTAGAAATTTCTTTCAAAAAATTAATAATTGATATAATTTTGCAATATGTAAATTTCCAAATTCTAAATTATATTACATTTTAAAATTTTTTTTACATGGTATATAATGTCTTGGAGTACAAAAACAAATGCTAATAAATTTACACTTTATAGCTGAAATGCCTGTGGCAACTTCACGAATAATTTAGCAAGTTATGTTAAATTATTATCTTTGTTTTATTTTTAAAAATTATTGTGATTTTATAAAATATATATGACTTGATCAAAGTTTGAAGGAGAGAATTTTTTATATGGAATGATCATCAATTTTACTTAAAGACCTTGTACTTTAGTTATTAGTCAGTCATTTTTAAGATTTGATATTTAAGTTATATGTTCATTTGAAAAGATGCTCAAGCAGATATATATTTTTATTTAGATGAGAACTGAATCTATTATCAATATGTACTTCATGTATTATGATTTATAATAAATGGCCTATTACTTATTAATTTCAAATACACACTCATACTCACTCACTCATTTACTATTCCTTTGATTTTAATATGCTGTTGATTGTACATCATACTATCAATTTAAAGTTGAGAATGCACACACTTTTTTATTAACCTAAAATTATAAAAATGTATCCTTTATTACAAATTTTATTATGATTTTAAATGTTAAAATAAATGAAAACTATATACTTATTTATGCCTCCAGCATTCTTTCTGTGCTCTTTGAAATAAAAAGGAATCATGTATTTAAATGTTGCATTATAAAATAATTTTTTTGAAACATTTAAAATGTCTGGCAAATAGTCTGACTTTTAATTATCACCTATAATATTATTAATGCATAAAACTGAAATAAGAACAGGAAGAATAGATACAATGAAGTTTGATCATGAGTAGGTAATATCTGAACCACATATTTTGATATCAAGTATTAATGTACGATGTATTATGATTTTGGAGACTTTAATAAAATGTATGTATCTTAGGGTAAAGGAAATATGATGATAACTATTTTCTTTTAGAATTAGTTCTAAATAATAATATAGATAAAAAAATTGTTTTTATTTACGGAATTATCGTAACATTTCTGAGATAAGATTGACCAAAACTTGCATCATGGTGATAACATACAATAACAATGGTATCAATGTTACAAACAGTAGTTAACAGCAAAATGGAAATTGATATATGAACATTATAGCCTATGAGGCAACTTTCTTTTACATGCTTTATCTTGTTTGATATTTATCATGTACTAAAAAATGTAACACATTATTATATATATTAATGCTATCGCTACACAATTTTTAATGCATTTGATTTTCAATAAGTAGATGTTAAGATATAGCTTTTTAATTTGGAAATAAAGCAGTTTGATCAAGCAAATTTGAAAGTTAAGGATAATTTAACTATTCTGATTGGCCTATTTTTTTTCATCATACAGTAAATCTTTAGTATTCAAATAATAGATATTTAAAAAAAAATTCCTAAGTCAATACTAAATAAAAAAACACCTAATTAAATTATCTTGCCATTTCGTGTATAATTTATCATATAATAACATATTATTTTTCAATCATAAATTTTAAAAATGTAAAAATATATTTTGACGTTTGACTTGTTCTCAATGAAACTGTCAAGGTGAATTGTTATTGTTTGTTAATAAGTTTTGAGAATAATGTCTGAATTTGGTTGTTAAATTATTTAAAAATTATTAAAATAAGTAAGATAATTATAGTGAATTACTTCTGACTTTTTAAACTTAATTGTAAGGATAGTTTGTTTAATCATTTGCATTTGAAATGTTTTATTAAAATTTTATTATTATACTTGCAAACAATAATAATGAATACCTGTAANTTTGTCAAAACAAAAGTTATGTATTGCTCAAATACACTGGTTCCAGAAATAAATTTGATGTCAATACAAAATGGTATAATTTGTGAAAGTTGTTGTCAAATCCATTAAATATTTTTGTTGATTTTATTGTGTGTTTTTACACTACCAGTGAGAAAAACATAGATAAACTGGATATTTAGACTCAGGAATAATCAGTGAAGAAAATAGAATTGATGGCCTAATTTAAAGGGTTTATAGGTTTAAATAATATTTTCTGAGACTTCTCGTATAACATTGATTCTGAATTTATGTACTTTAACTATTCAACAGCATATCCAATTCAATTAGCAGTTTAATTTGCATAATTCTAAGTTTGGTAATAATAAATTAACAGTTTATTGGAAATGCTATCTTTTGGATAATTTGAATTTTTGTATTGTGTACTACAGTTTTAGGACTAGAATTATATTTTATTTAGAAAAATTTTCAGGAAAATTGGAATTTATAATGTTTTCCTTAATTCTGTTTTTTCATTCATGCAAATTCTCTCTCTTAAAGATTAAGATGTAAAAATTGCCATTAAATTCTAGTACTTTTAAGCTTTCGAACTCATTCTTAGAGGCATCAACAGATAGCTATACAACTATATGTAACGTGTAAAATGTTCCGCTACCTGCTTATGTATTGCGTGATGGCCGGCTATCACTGCCTCGACTTAAACTTCTGTATCCAAAGAAGTGACGCAATCTTCTTTCCAGGACGTGACGTTGTCAGTCCCTCTGGCGGCGTAATGTCCATGTGCTCATCTACGTATTCTTAATTGACTATTTCTTCTGGTTTCCTTGGCAGGCCAGGTCACAATTCTCGAGTGATGGAACCTTCTGCGCCAGACGAAGCGCCTAGAGATCCCGGAGCTTTGATTACCCATCCTAGTTACACAGACCAGGATTTCGAGGGTAAGTTCTTTGTTTTAATTTATATTCCTGTGTCCATTACGCGTTTCGTACACGTGGTTTATTATCGGAAGCCAATCATTTTTTTTACAGTTATACGTTTCACGTTTTTTTTATCAATACTTTCTTGTTATATATAAATATATATTTTATATTAAACAATTAATTTGTTTTCATACTTCCTTTTTTTTTATTTTAAGGAAGCCAAGACTTTTTTTTTTTTTTTTTAAATTTTGAAATAGAAACGGGAATTCACTGCGATGACTTATTATTTCGGTTTCTGTTTTATATAAAAATTTCTATGACAATTAACAAAAAACCCCGGAAAATTTGGATATATTTCTAAATGAATCTTGGAAATTTTAATACACAATAATGTATTTATATTTATTTCTATCGAGATTCTTGACGTATTTTCAATTAAAACAAATTTAAATGAAAATGAATTGGGCTCTTTATTATTCATACACTTTATAACTATATCTACAGTACAATAGACAAATGCTTACCACTGTTGACTAGCTACAATGTTTCGAATTAAATTTAAAATATATTTTAATTTTTAATAGTTAAATTTATTACAATTTAACTTAATTGAAAAATTTTCATAAATTGTTTTTAAATCATTGTGTAGAAAAATGAATTTTTTTTTCTTTTTTACTTGTTAATGAATTTTCTAAGATTTAATTTTTATAAAATATATTATTAGAACTGTTTTAGTTTAAAAAAAAATTACATTCAAAGTTTTTTTTTATATAAAGAATAATTTTATTTAATCTTTTTTTTTAATCCAATTATATTAAATTTATTAAGGTAAAATGGTATTAATTTTAACATTATCTAAATATTTTGAAAATTTTTAGTAAGAAAAGTTTCCGCGGTTTTCCGGTATCGATAGTATCTTGTATTTCTTTTAAATTTATCTTTTCATAAAGATGGAGAATTCGAGAATTTCGGGAATTATCTTCAGAAAACTTCAATTATTGATTTCTTAGTTTATCTACTTAAGAACATTATTATTTTAAGATTTAAGTTAGATATAAATAATTTATATTTTTGGTTGTTGTTTTTATTTAAATTTGCGTGAAAAATAAATTAAACAAAAACAAATTTGTTTTCCAAATTTTAAATATTATGATATATTAAGTAAAATCAAATATACGTAAGCAAACATTGTATTTATGAATCTGTATATTTTATTTCTATTTAGACAAAATTAAATCAGAAATCAATATTTAGATGGAATGCAATGTTTACTAATATTTATCATAATTTTGTAGGTCACAGAGCTCACACTGTATACGTAGGCTTGCACGTTCCTGGTTATCGTAGGAGGAGTCATCATCGTCGCCATCATCGTCATCATAAAAATGGTCAAAAGAAACGAGAAGATGGGACTACTGCGGATTACAACAATGAATTCCATAAGCCAGGTTAGATTTTATTTAAAGCGTAATTATTTATTGTTGATAACTTTTCCTAAATAACTAAGTTGTAAATAAGAAGATTGGTATTGAAATTAAATACTGTATATTTCGTTACCTGTTTAAATTATTAGAATAGTCATTAAGTTAAAAAGTATATTAAATTTTTGATAATTTCATAAAACACTAATATAATACAGTGGAATCTACTTACTGATACTGTACTGATAAATGCTTGACAAGAATATTTGTAATAAGTGGCTTCTAGTGTGTAATGTTTATCTTAATTTTCATTGAAAGAAATAAAAATAATGTTAGATTTAAAATGTGGTCAAAATAATAATAATAAATTTAATATCTTATGGAAACATTCAATATTTATAATTTAAAAATATATGTGAATATAATATTTTGGAAAAATGTGTATTTTAGCAGAATAATAAATTATAGAAGGATAAAAACATGTTTTTCTAAATAAAAATGAGATAGTAATTTAAATTTTCTCTGAATCTATTAATTTACTCATGCAAATTAATCCTATGACAATTCAAACATAAGACATTATAAATAATAAATAATAATCTTTTTTTATTATAGAACTTACTAAAAATTCTTTAAAGATTAACCAATAGATTAACTTAAGTTAAAATATGAATCTACTTTTAAGTTGTCTCTGTAAATCAAAATAAGCAGTAATTTTGTAAATTTTTTATTAGCTTTTTTTTTTTTTCATACAGTTGTAAATGTGTGAAAAAATTAATAAAAAATTTACTTATGTAAAATATTCATATATAAATATCTGTATATATAAATCCCAATTTTTCTAAAAAAAATTATATCTAAATTTGTCAAAACAAAAGTTATGTATTGCTCAAATACACTGGTTCCAGAAATAAATTTGATGTCAATACAAAATGGTATAATTTGTGAAAGTTGTTGTCAAATCCATTAAATATTTTTGTTGATTTTATTGTGTGTTTTTACACTACCAGTGAGAAAAACATAGATAAACTGGATATTTAGACTCAGGAATAATCAGTGAAGAAAATAGAATTGATGGCCTAATTTAAAGGGTTTATAGGTTTAAATAATATTTTCTGAGACTTCTCGTATAACATTGATTCTGAATTTATGTACTTTAACTATTCAACAGCATATCCAATTCAATTAGCAGTTTAATTTGCATAATTCTAAGTTTGGTAATAATAAATTAACAGTTTATTGGAAATGCTATCTTTTGGATAATTTGAATTTTTGTATTGTGTACTACAGTTTTAGGACTAGAATTATATTTTATTTAGAAAAATTTTCAGGAAAATTGGAATTTATAATGTTTTCCTTAATTCTGTTTTTTCATTCATGCAAATTCTCTCTCTTAAAGATTAAGATGTAAAAATTGCCATTAAATTCTAGTACTTTTAAGCTTTCGAACTCATTCTTAGAGGCATCAACAGATAGCTATATAAACATACATCATTTAGATAGCTGTAAGTGTTTGAGGAATTTGGTGAAATAAATTTGTGTGGTATTCTTTTAAAGAATTTATTTTGAAATATTTAAAATAAATTTAATATTTGATATAGAATAATAATAATAATAATAAACAGTTTAAATTCAAATGAAAATTTATATTGTATAAAATAGTTTAATTCAAAATAAAAATATATTTTTCTAATGAGTTCCATTTTGGAACTAGATAACTTGTATTTTGTTTATGCTGATATTAATAAATATAGTTACATTATTAATATATCAAATTTCAGTTCCAAATTCTAATATAAAATAATTTTTAAATATTGAATGTTTTAAATTAAACATTATGCTTGTTATATTTTGTATGATATAATTCGGTGAAAATAATTATTTTCCAAATAGTTATTAGAATAAATGTTTATATGTAATGTATTTATTAAAATTTATTAATGTAATAATGAATTGCTAATTTAATTGTATAGAACCTTATACATTTTTAAGTTTTTGTTTTACAAAATAGCAATCAATAGAAAAACTAAGACTTCGTTTTGAAGTCCAAAACTTTTTATTTTATTATTTGAATAATTAAATACAAATATTTTAAACTTTTTTAAATGAGCAATACTTATATTAAAACAAACTTACATTCCAAATATTTTGAAAATAAAGAAAACTTTTTAAAATTTTTAATATTTATTATTTAAAAGACTATTTATTATTACAGACAAATATTGAAAAGTAAAAGATAGTTACACATTCCCCAAAGATAGCATTAAAATTAATAAAATTCCTTTCTTTATTCAGAAACTAATTCTGAAAGAAATTCCAAAATTAACAGTATTAATGCTAATGTAGTTATTGTAATTTAGATTACTAGAAAACAATTACATTTTGTTAAATTGAATTAGAAGAAGAATTGAAAGCAATTATTAAAGAAATTGATTGGAAGTTCTTCAGTTAGACAAATTTTAATAAATATAAATTTTTATTAGTTACACCACCAGCAGAGCGTGTTCATTTTATTCTTGGAGAGGACGAAGATGGTACACATGAAGCTCATCCACTGTTCAGTGAGATGGAAGAATTACATGGAGATGGAGATGATATGGAGTGGAGAGAAACAGCAAGGTTTGTAGATGTAATTTGAAAAAGTTGTAATAATTTATAGTTTTCTATTTAACTGCTGATTTCATATAATTTTTAAATTATTAGATGGATTAAGTTTGAAGAGGATGTTGAAGAAGGCGGTAATCGATGGTCCAAACCACATGTTGCTACCATATCCTTACATTCCTTATTTGAACTCCGAAGTTGTATTTTAAATGGCACAGTTATGTTAGATATGGAAGCACAAAATTTAGAACAAATTTCTGGTAAATTTTAATTTTATTTAGAAATTTCTTTCAAAAAATTAATAATTGATATAATTTTGCAATATGTAAATTTCCAAATTCTAAATTATATTACATTTTAAAATTTTTTTTACATGGTATATAATGTCTTGGAGTACAAAAACAAATGCTAATAAATTTACACTTTATAGCTGAAATGCCTGTGGCAACTTCACGAATAATTTAGCAAGTTATGTTAAATTATTATCTTTGTTTTATTTTTAAAAATTATTGTGATTTTATAAAATATATATGACTTGATCAAAGTTTGAAGGAGAGAATTTTTTATATGGAATGATCATCAATTTTACTTAAAGACCTTGTACTTTAGTTATTAGTCAGTCATTTTTAAGATTTGATATTTAAGTTATATGTTCATTTGAAAAGATGCTCAAGCAGATATATATTTTTATTTAGATGAGAACTGAATCTATTATCAATATGTACTTCATGTATTATGATTTATAATAAATGGCCTATTACTTATTAATTTCAAATACACACTCATACTCACTCACTCATTTACTATTCCTTTGATTTTAATATGCTGTTGATTGTACATCATACTATCAATTTAAAGTTGAGAATGCACACACTTTTTTATTAACCTAAAATTATAAAAATGTATCCTTTATTACAAATTTTATTATGATTTTAAATGTTAAAATAAATGAAAACTATATACTTATTTATGCCTCCAGCATTCTTTCTGTGCTCTTTGAAATAAAAAGGAATCATGTATTTAAATGTTGCATTATAAAATAATTTTTTTGAAACATTTAAAATGTCTGGCAAATAGTCTGACTTTTAATTATCACCTATAATATTATTAATGCATAAAACTGAAATAAGAACAGGAAGAATAGATACAATGAAGTTTGATCATGAGTAGGTAATATCTGAACCACATATTTTGATATCAAGTATTAATGTACGATGTATTATGATTTTGGAGACTTTAATAAAATGTATGTATCTTAGGGTAAAGGAAATATGATGATAACTATTTTCTTTTAGAATTAGTTCTAAATAATAATATAGATAAAAAAATTGTTTTTATTTACGGAATTATCGTAACATTTCTGAGATAAGATTGACCAAAACTTGCATCATGGTGATAACATACAATAACAATGGTATCAATGTTACAAACAGTAGTTAACAGCAAAATGGAAATTGATATATGAACATTATAGCCTATGAGGCAACTTTCTTTTACATGCTTTATCTTGTTTGATATTTATCATGTACTAAAAAATGTAACACATTATTATATATATTAATGCTATCGCTACACAATTTTTAATGCATTTGATTTTCAATAAGTAGATGTTAAGATATAGCTTTTTAATTTGGAAATAAAGCAGTTTGATCAAGCAAATTTGAAAGTTAAGGATAATTTAACTATTCTGATTGGCCTATTTTTTTTCATCATACAGTAAATCTTTAGTATTCAAATAATAGATATTTAAAAAAAAATTCCTAAGTCAATACTAAATAAAAAAACACCTAATTAAATTATCTTGCCATTTCGTGTATAATTTATCATATAATAACATATTATTTTTCAATCATAAATTTTAAAAATGTAAAAATATATTTTGACGTTTGACTTGTTCTCAATGAAACTGTCAAGGTGAATTGTTATTGTTTGTTAATAAGTTTTGAGAATAATGTCTGAATTTGGTTGTTAAATTATTTAAAAATTATTAAAATAAGTAAGATAATTATAGTGAATTACTTCTGACTTTTTAAACTTAATTGTAAGGATAGTTTGTTTAATCATTTGCATTTGAAATGTTTTATTAAAATTTTATTATTATACTTGCAAACAATAATAATGAATACCTGTAAACAATAATAATAAATACCTGTTTTATTTTAGATAACCACCGATAGACTATTTTATAAATATTTTCATAAAAATATAATTCTTGCTAAACTAAAGCAGTTATGATATTGCTAATAATAAAGTGAAGTAAATCTTCAATGATTTTAAGACTCATATTTTGCTTTTTGTTGAAAATGAAAAGTTACGATGAAGCTATTATGAAAAAAATTTTGACTATTTTATTTATCAGTAAAATAAAATATAAAATAATTAAATTTTTATATCTGTTTTTAAATTCTGAAAATATTCTTTTTTGCAGACCTTGTATTAGAAAATATGGTCAATTCTGGTCAATTACAAGCTGACTTTAGGGATCGGGTCAAGGAGGCTTTGTTAAGAAGGCATAGACATCAACATGAAAGGAGGCATGAATGGAGTGAGAAAAGTTCTAGATTACCACTTATTCGCTCATTAGCTGAAATTGGAAGAAATTCTAGTAAAAGCATGTTCGGTTCACATAGTGAGTAAAAACTAACACTTAAATATTAGAAATTTCTTAATGTAAATAAGATATTTTCATCTAAATTTTTAAATAATTATATTAGTTTTTATTTTTTAAATATAATTTTAATACGGTTAAATTGCAAATTTAAATTTACTTTAATGTATTTTGCTTTTAGCAATATGAGCAGTTTAAATTTTAATAGCACTCAAGCTCATAATGTGTAATAAAAATTTAATTATTATTTTAAAAATTTAATAATCACAAATTTGAATTGGCAAATATTTGAAACAGCTTTAAATTAATATAAAAATGGTTGGAGAAAGTTTAAAAATAGTATGTTTTTTTTATGGGAATAATGTAAATTTTTTAAATTCAACATATTGATAACTTAATAATTTTTAAAACAAATTTAAATAATAATATTTTTGTTCAGTCTAAATTACATGAAGAATTTAAGCGTAATAAAATATTTCACTTAACTCTTTGACTGTTCTCTTTTTGGAATCTCTACCATTAATTGAAATTATTTGAAAATACTTTTAATAGTAAAACAAAAAATATATAATTTTTAGACACAAATTTATTTTAGTAGAGTGATTACTGATTAAAATATTTTTTTTAATATTGAATTCTCTATAATTAAATATCTTAAATATTGTATTTCAAACACCTACATCTGCATTTAATAAAAATATATATTATTATTTTTTCTGAAATAATAATAATAATAATAAATGAGTATGTGTTTCATAGATTTTTGAAAATTTGTTTTAATGAAAAGTTTAGATTAGTCATGCACAATTAATTGTCAAATGGTTTTTGGGAATTCTTGATTTTTATGTTCTGAGAAATGTCTTAATGTGGGGATGTGAAATCTGTCCTTAAACTTTCTCTTTCCATTCTGCATGTTTTATGAATATCTTTTTTGCTATACTCTATAATTGTACATGTTTGTACATTCAGCCAATTTCTTCTTTCACTTTTGTTTATATGTAGGGTCTCCTTCCAATATTTATATAAACATGTATGTTAATATGTATAATGAAAATATCATTTTATTAACTGTTAAAAAAAGTTAAAATTATCATTCTTATTCATTATTTTAATTGTGTGATTTATACAAAGTCCTTTCATTTTAAATAATACTATTTCATTATAATCATTACTATTAAAATTTTATTCATTAAATACTTTCATGATTATTAAACATAAATTTATTTGTAAATAAACTCAAAAAATTTAAATATGTATTAAGAGTTAAAACATTAAGAAATAATTCATCATATTTAAATATATATATTTCTTTAAAACATTAAAAGAAAAATCATTAAAATTCAAAGTGATATTTTACATATTATATGTATGAAAATAAGTATTGTTTTAACAAAAATTTTAAAATTGAAAAATTTGTAACAATGCATAATATTTTATATTATCAGCATAAAATAATTTAATGTCAATTTAAAAATTGTAATTTTATGCAACACTAAGATTAAGAAAAAAAAAAACAAAAACAAAAATTGACATTCATAATACTGTAGCTATTTCTGATTATTTTCATGGCAATGATTAACACTGCATATTATCTTCTGCTAAATAAGAGAATTAGTATTGCAGATATCAACAGAGGATTGCAATACATATGAAAGATTTTAATCTTTATACAACACAAAGAATGAAGATCATTAATCCTTCCAATAATTCTTGTGTATTTAAAATAGCTATTTCTAAAACTTTATTTTGTGTATATTATTATTGGAAGGAGGCCTTACTTAACAGGTAGGTTTTTCTATTTCCTTTTCCTGCTTATGCTTTGCCTTATTCTGTCCCTTGCCCACAGATTTTTTGGACATAATTGGTGGTGGGGCATCACCCCCTACCACACCCAACGCCCCATCGGCACAAGGGGAATGGAAACCACACTTCAGCAAGTACCTGGCTCTACCTGGTAATCAACCTGCAGATAAGCAGGTTTGCTAGGGAGTCCTTCCTGCTTGTCATTTGTCTTACCCCTTTGGTTAGGGTGCATGTGATTGTAATTCAATTAACAAAGCATGCTGAGGTCAAGTATATTAATATTTATTATTAAGACTGTGTTACCATCAGTGATTACCACTTTATAATAAAATGAGTTTATTTGAAATTCTGTTGAAATCAGAAAGAAGGTATTATTTAGGTTAAATTCTTATAAAAATATATTACAGATAAGATTCTCTTTATAAATATATTCACAAATATAAAAACAATAATAATTTAATGTAAGACTTGAATATAATTAATTAATTTCATAAATTTTAAGGAATTTAGTTTTACAAGAACTACCCTATTTTTAATTTTTAAAGGGAATTTTTATAGTTTTATATTTGTGATCTCTAAATTAATTTTTATACCTTCTATCATGAATTAGAAATTTAATTACAAAATTATTATTTTATTTGTAAAATAATGTTTAAATGTATATTTTGAGTAATTATGAATAATAATAATAGTATTCATTTACCAAAGAAACCTTTATATCTGATTTCAAAATTTTTGTATATTCATTATAATGTAAATGTGTTTAGATTTTGTAAGAAATTATATAGTTTAGATGTTTTAAAGAATTGATTTAGCATGGTTTTTCTTTATTTTAAATTTCTAATTATGTTCATTTTAGATAAATTTATTTTGTGCTTGATATTGTGACAAAATTATTTCTTTGCATGGTTGTTTCTTTTGTCTATCTGGATGTCAAATCTTTCAAATATTTAATGTAATTGAAAATAATAAAGCATGTATTGTTTAGTACAAATTGCATCAGTGGCGGAATTACCAGTAAGAATTATATAAAATGATGATTTGTTTTGTTCTGATACTAAAAAATAGGAGTTGTTTAATTTTGAATTTTATTTCCTTTATATTTTCTTAATTTTAATTTAAGTAAATGTTTTGAATGTATATAATATAAGATCATTTAAAAAGTTTTATTATGTACATATTTGACAAATAAATTTCAAGTGAAATAATTATGATTAAGATGAAAATAATCATTTGAATGTTAATAAATAACTTAAAGTTGTTATTACCAAAATGAGAGGAAAGAAATTTATAAGGAGAAAAAATTGATGCACTTTTAAGATTTTTGTTATAAATCTGATGAATGTAATTAAAATTTTATAATTTTAGAATGAATACTAATGTTTAAAGTGTTCTTAATTCAGGAAATCACAATGGTATGTTTTTAATTTGCTGAATTTGAGATCATTCTTATTTATCAGTATTTCACTGTAAGTCAAGATGTCAGTGTTTGTAAAAAATAACTTAAGAAACAATGTAAATTAGCTATTATATAAATATAAATTTTACAATCTGAATCATATATTAAATTTCTTACATATAAATTGCTAAAAATGTAGATTTTTAAAATTTACTTTAATTTTGTAAAATGAATTTACTCAAAATTATACTATGTTATTTGAATTTTTTCAAAAATAACTGTAATTGATTCAAATTAAGAAACTACTTAGTTATTTTAATCACATATTTAAATTAAAATTTTATTACTTATTAAAATTATGATGGGATATAGAATATTAAATAGCTATGATGATGGCAACAATGTCATAGATATATTAATAATATACTGTGAATGTCATGCTCGTCTGGTACTGGTGTCAAGTACTGTGCTGGACTAAAGTCAAAGCATAACTACCGAAACAACTGTAACATTAAGATATGTTATTGGTATATGCATCAACATCAAGAAACTTCGTAACAATGTGATGTGTGTTCAATATTGCTGCTTTCTGTAGTGCCATGTATGTTTTTATTAAGATTTAATATTTCTAGACTTTTGTGTAGTGTATGTAGTATAACACGAGTAGAAGAGAGGACAACAGATACAATAAATAATAAATACTTTATCCATCCTCCACATCTGTTTTCTTTTTTGAGCGAGTGGAGTGTACTTGTTGATTTTCTGTGTGAGCAATTTTTATGTTATGAGTGTTTGGAAGAGATGTCTATTACATAAACGATCTTACTACATTTGTCAATGAGAGTGATGTCAGTCCTATTGTGAAGAATTGTTTTAACTGTGATTATGGCTTGCCATAGTATATTTTGTGTGTGTCATCATCTAATACTGCCTGTGGAGTATATTTGTAGTATGGTACTTGGGTGCTTAATAATCTGTTTATGTGAAAGCTCTTAGGCATAAGAAAATGGTAAATATAATACACTATGTAAGTAAGTCTGTTTATGGTAAGAGGTTGCAACCAGAAGTTATATGTTGTATTGTTTCTGGCAGTATGTGGCATTTTCTGCAAGAATCATTTGTTAGTGATTATCCTTCAGGATGTTTTCTATAGTTTTTAGTATTTATGATCTGATCTTGAATGGCAATCATAAACCTCTCAGTCTCTCCAGACAGCCCCTAGTCATCCAGTAGTTTGATGCAGTTTTGTCAACATAGTCCTGAGCTAGATCATAGGCATGCCTGCCATGAAGTGTCTTTTGGGCCTATGACTGCTTAATGGTGTCTGTTGTTTATGTGTTGAGCAATGTCCATGTGCTCAGAGTGTAAGTTTAAAGGTATGTTGTTACTGTCTGCCTGAGCTATAGTTTTATGTAATCTTGATATTTTTTGTGGAAAATTCCCACAGTATCAGAATTTGTTTGTAATGCAGGCTGTGACTATATTAGTCAGGCCATGGCCACCTTCTTTATGAGGAAGAGTTAGTCTTTCTACAGATGGTTTTGAATGATATGTTTAGTGGTGGTGTTTTCCTTTGGAGTTGCTTGAGATTTGTGTCTATCCAGCATATAACCAAAAGAATAAGTGAGTACAGGGACAATATATTATTAATAGCTTTAATAGTATGTTTTGCTTTTAAGTGTGCTCTTAGTACTGTGTGTAATCTGTTCTGGGATTCAAGTGTTAATCTTTTTTTTAATTTGTGCATGTTCTGTAAGTTTGGCATATTGGAATCCTAAATATTTTACAAATATTTAGGATTCCAACAGCCCTTTTTTATGGATTTGATAATATTTCCACTTCTTGAGTACAAAATTTACTTTCTTCAGAACTCCTTTTTCAGTGTGGAGTGTTTTGCATTTGTCTAGACCAGTGTTTTTCAACCTTTTTTATCTCATGGCACACTTGAACCTTTAATTAAATTTCCGCAGCAAAAATTTTCTTGGAATAAATCAAGTTTTGTTTGTAAACATTCTGTTGTCACACTACTTGCCACGATCTCATTCTTTTTGTCTATATTTTTAAGAATTACATAAAACAGTATTGTTCTTCCTTAAAGTAACAGCAGGTTACAACAATAGTTATGTAAATGAAAATTATTACTTTAAATAAGAAAAGCAATTAACATTAAGTCTTAATTTGCATTTAAAAGTGGCATGTTAATTGCCTTTATGAACCTGCCCAACGTTCCACTATTTCTAAGTTAAAATAATTTGAACTAAATATGGAAAATTATAGATACGTTTTTGATTAAAAGAAAATTTTCATTTTAAATGAAATAAACTAGTGTTATGCACATATAATTTTGCTTATGAATATATATTTTCTACTACATTATGTATACATTTATTTATTATAACAATGAAAAACTTGTATAATCAATTTAAAAGAGGTTTTAATTTTGACATGTACACTTATTGTTCTTTGGGCTTTTTTCGAAAAAAATTTGTTTAATAACCTTCAAAAATTAACGCGGTACACTGGTTGAAAATCACCAGTCTAGACAAACTCAATTTGTCTGGACTGTATTGTTTGTATTGTGTGTGTGTGTGGATTGTAAGAGGTGATGAAGCTGATTTATTATTATTATTTTAAACCACTTTAAATAGTGTAGAATATTTACTATTAGAATTTACATAATATTAAATTTGATTATAACATTAGATATAGTTATCAATGCTGTTATTATGCACAAGAAATTTACATATATATTTGAGATTTGTGACAAATTGAAACTATATAAAATTGATCTGTATAGTATAGTAGTTGGTATATTTATATACAGTAGTTGATTTATATTTGAAGACAATGTAAAGAAAAATTCATTGGCTTTTGAGATCAAGGCATTGATTTTAAATAAATTATTGTATAAAATTATCATCAAAAAAATTATTGTATCTTTATTATCACTGAATACATCCAATATTTTTGAGAATTTATTTCATATTCCTATATGAAAATATAGATTCTTGATAATGCTCAGTGAACAAACAAAAGGAATTTACATTTAATTTACACCTTTTTAAAGTTCAACAAAATCTATTTACCATACAGATAAATTAGTCTTAGTCTTTACTGTTTAAATTCTAGAATTTGAATAAGACCTGAAGAAGAACATTGACCATGTCTGAAAATGTTTGTCTGTATGGTGAATAGATTTTTGCTGAACTTTAAGGTGTAATAGTTGTTTTTCAAAAGAAATTTTATTTTCAAATATGCGGATATAAGAATATAGCATTAATATGTAGTTTGTAAATATAGTAATTTAGCACTAGAGGTAGGCATTAGGCACCATCTCATTAATCTGGTAATTGTTTGGCTTTAATATAATCATTAGGTTTTGAGATGTTTATATATGTAAATGTACAGGGTGTTTACTTAAACATTTATCCAGATGCAAAAGTGACCTTTCCAACTTTGAATGAGTACATGCAAGACGTCCAACAGCCTCTCTCCAGCATCCAGAGACATATAAGAGTGCATAAGTTGAGAATTGGGTATAGTCCCATACAATTGCAAAGTGATTTGTAGAAACAGGAATGCATCAAAAAGCCCGTTATGCTAACTATCATTAACACAAGACAACTTCATTATACTTGCATCTTTTCTTACTACATACTATAGAAATAATTTTCATATACAGTTGAATATGTTTATCTCAAAAACCTCTTATCTTGAAATTTATTTTCTCCCCTTGCATTTTCAGTTTAAAT